AAATGAGAAGGGGGAAATTTTTAAAAGGAGAAAAAAAATTAGGTCATAAAGAGATTTTATATATATATTAAAAGTAAAAATTTGAAAAGTGTAATTCATGGATAATAAAGAGACAAATATTTAAAATATGTTTTTGTCATTTTATAATAATTAAAATAAGGTTAAAAAAAGAGAGAATAAATAAATAAATTTATTAAGAGTAGAAATTAGAGAGGTGGAAGTTATGAATAATTACTTGGCATATGAGGAGTTTTTGTTGTAAATGTTCATCAATTAATTAAATATTTATTTGGAATAAATTAAGTAATTCACTTTTACTATAAAATAATTAATTTAAATAAGAAAAAAGCAAAAAAAAAAAAGACAAAATGTAAATGGAGATTATAGAGAGGTGCCACATCACCTACTCTATGTTTCTCCTTTATATTACTAGTAGGGAGGCCCGTGCATCGCACGGGGCACGAAGCCCAACAATTTTTGTATTCTGAAATCTTAAATTTTATTTAATGTATAACCTTTTGTCATAAAGGGATAAAATGAAAGTGGTAGTAGTAATTGACAAGAAAAAAAAGTTAATACATAAAGGCTACTTAAATAGATATATCATGTAAAGCATATAAAAATTCACATTGTTAAAGAACTCTCACAACACGTCTTATCTCATAATAATCACAATACACGAGAAATAATTTTTAAAAGATTGACAGAATCTGTAAATATAGTTTCGAGTTAATATCTCAAAAAGTCACTCAACTTTCAGAATTTATCTAGTAAAGTCATTAAACTTTGTTTTGTATCATTAAAATCACTAAACTTATACATTTCTATCAATCAAATTTATCACTGAAAAAAGTATTGGCATAGCAAAATAATTATTATTTTTATATTATATAAATATGAATCCCACAAATAACTAAAATTAAAGAAATCTCATTAAGAACTTTTCACTTCCTCTCACAAATTTTTTTTTAAAAAAACAAACTAAAATGTATGTCCAAACACAATTTTAAATTTCAAAACTTATTTATGAACAATTTTGAAAATTTATTTATTCAAGCTTAAACAAATCTAACGTTAGCAAACAGTGAAATTATGAAGGAAAAGTAAGATCTTTACCTATTATATATAGCAAAAAACATCTAAATAAATTACACGCTGAAGAACTTAATTAGTAATAATACTTACCTGTTCTATTTTGACATTTGTTTATTGTTTTTCTTCCTGTTTTGGATTTAATTTGTTGTTTTGCTGAAGTACTTGTACTCATTTTTTTTATTAAGGAGGTAAACTAAATATTATGGTATTACAGTAATAGCAAAATATGTTTCACTAAGAATTTTTTTTCATTTATTTATTAAATCAAGACATAAACTATACAACAATATCATAAAATATTTGTTTCCGTGATGAAGTCTGTCAGAATTTTTTTAATAAGTTTTCTTTAATTTTATTTATTTGTGGGATTCATATTTACATGATATAAAAATAATAATTTATTTTGCTATGCCAATACTTTTTTTAGTGATAAATTTGATTGAGTGATTTTATTGATAGAAATGTCTAAGTTTAGTGATTTTAATGATACAAAACAAAGTTTAATGACTTTACTAGATAAATTCTGAAAGTTGAGTGACCTTTTGAGATATTAACTCCAT